AAGCAAAGGAAATGCTGCAAGTCCAATAGTGTATAATTCTAGTCCAACTAAAACTGGTAAAAAAAGAAGACTAAATGAAGCAAACTGGACAATCAATGTAGCTAAACGACTGAGAAATAGTGGTAAGCCTTATCAATCTACCAAATCAAAAAGAAACATGCCAAGTCGTGAATTGAAACCTTGTAAAGATAAATGTAAATTTAAATGTGGGTTTAAATTTACAGAGGAGCAAAGACAGACAATTTTAAATGACTATTGGAGCTTAGGTGCAATAGAAAAACAATGGACGTTTATTGCTAATAGCGTAGACATAGTCATCCCAAAACAACGTTACGTTAAAGTTAATTCGGATGAAAATGTTGCAACTATTAGAAACAACAACAACGCTTTCTTTTTGACTATTTCGGGTGAAAAAACAAGAGTTTGTAAATTGTTTTTCAAAAATACTTTGGAGATTAATAATCGACTCATAGAGACTGCTTTGAAAAAGAAAAATAGTAACACTAATATTTCTTCCATGAAAGATAACCGAGGTACTCATTCAAACCATTACGCAGTGGGCGAAAGCATTAAAAATGGCATCAAATTGTTTATTGAGTCTATACCGAAGATTGAGTCACATTATATCCGGGCTAACTCAAAACGAAATTATATTGACGGTATTAAAGCTGTCACAGATCTTCATAGAGATTATGTAGAAAAATGCAAATCCCAAAACGTATGGCAAAGGTATCTGTAAAGCACAATACTAATTTCATGAAAACTAAAATAGCCCTGTCTCGCCAGCAACGCAGTCAGGAATTCGCATTTAGAATAAACTAAAATTAGGGCATTTTTAGGTGCCAAGTTTAAAAATTCGGTGCTCCAAAATTTTCACCGCAACGAATTGTTGAATTTTGCGCTGCTGGCAAAACGTATCGCTAGCAACGCGGTGACGATAATAGATATGTACAATAAATATTAATAACAAGGAATTAAGTGTTTGTGTAATTAAGTGCTGAAAGATTATTGAGGTTGGATGTACATGACGGTAATATTCTGGGAATTATCGTGTCCGGGACCACCATTACTTTACTGTAAGGTTTGAACGACATTTATTGTTCTTTATCAGTTATATATTATAGATAATATAGGTCGATAGATCTGTACTAAAACCGAATCAGGACGCCCCAACTCCACGTAGTCTTGTCTGCCCTACCCCTAGTGTTTTTGTAAAGCCGTAGGCGCAGAGGGAGTGCAGCCCTCGCCCGTTGTAGCATGCAGCTGTAGTCTGTGTCAAGGTAGAAGGGGTTGCACTTCCTGCAGCGCCGAAGCGGTCCGTGCAAGCATTGCATAGGTACTGTTTTATTACAGATTCAATACAGTGGCGGTCTATACCTGTTTCTTATTTCAGTAGAGTAACGTCACGTGAAGAATAAATAAATCACAGTTGCGAGCTAGAAACACTAGCAGTAGTTGAATCTTTAAAACATTTACGTGTTTAAGTTTATGGCAAGCTATTAATATCGTCACCCACTGTTCCGCTGTACGTTATACGTTGTTAAATAAAAGGTCTAGTACCTAGGATTAACCGTTGGTGGTTATCTATCCAAGAATAAGATATTCAAATAGAATATAGACTTGATAATCGTTTGAAAGTAGTGGCGCTTAAGAATATCCACTACCCTATATCTTCCTGTGGGTGTCGTCAGAGGCGACAGTGGGAAACAGGCAGGAGATGGGCAGCAGCATCTTCCTGATAACAGCAAATAAAAAAAATGCGGTTGCCAACCCGCTCGTAAAGCGTGGCAACTATCCCCCTATGATGAAAGTTAAGAAGAGACGGCCCACAGTCCCCGGCGGCCCCGCTATTCCTGGCTACGGTGGCGATCATGGTAACGGCGGGGCAGGGGATGATACGAATCTCCGGTGGAGGTTCAGTTGCCTCCTAAGACTACTCGACCTGGCAACATACAACGCACGCACCCTGAGGACGAGAAGATCCTGGAGCTGGAAGAAGAGATGGACAAGTTGCGCTGGCATATTATAGGATTATCCGAAGTCCGAAGAGAGGGAGAGGACACGGTAATCCTCGAATCCGGCAACTTGTTCTATCACCGGTAGGGCGACCATCTGTCCCAAGGAGGTGTCGGATTTATCGTCCACAAATCTCTCGTTAACAACGTTGTAAAGATTGGGAGTGTGTCGACGAGGGTTGCGTACCTTATAATCAGGATCACCAAACGGTATTCGTTGAAGGTCACACAGGTTTACGCACCAACCTCGGCACATCCCGATGAGAAGGTGGAGGAAATTTATGAGGATATCTCTAGAGCCATGCATTCCTCCAAAACCCACTATACGGTGTTAATGGGATACTTCCAATGCAAAACTAGGCACAAGAGAAAATGGTGAACAGGTAGGGAAATTTGGAATAGGGCAACCCAAGGTACCAGCAGCTGACCGACTTCATGGAGAAAGATCTCTTTATGATGAACTCTTTCTTCCAGAAGCGGCCCTACAAGAAATGGACCTGGTCGAGCTCCGACGGTTCGACAAAAAATGAGATTGAATTCATTATGACGACAACTGTTCAGTGATGTCTCAGTGATCGCGAGGGTGAAAACTAGTAGCGATCACCGAATGGTTAACAGATTCCTTGCGGCACCGATTTTCGACAACTTTTAGCTAACAAATATTTCATGACACTCCTGGCGTGTCAAGCGCCAAGCGTCAAGCCATGTGTAAAAGTAATTATCTTTTTTATGCTTTTTTCACTTGTTTAGACCTAATTATGTTTAGTTGACATCAATTATCAGTTACAAAGGGAAGGATACTTGTTTTTAATGGGTAACTACGTGTTTTTCTACGTGTTTTCTTTGAAATTAAGAGTAAATGACTTTTTTTACGCAGAGATTACAAACATTTTGTATTAATTTTTTGTTTTATAAGAAAATCATTTATATAAGTAGGTACAGCTAAATCACCCTGGAAAACCTTGGTTTTTATTGAATTAAATTTTCACCTAATAATAATATTTGTAAATATCAAACAATCAAGAACCTTAATTTAGAAAAAAATAAGGTTTATAATTCATTAATATTTTTACAAATGTTAATTATTTAATGTTATACAAATGTAAAAGTAAAGTCGATTTGGAAACGTCTAATTAGTAAGAATAGCAAAACAAGTGTTTTCGAAAGGAAAAAAACGCCGGCGCTATACGGTGGCGGATTGACAAAAGACTATTTATTAGCGAACTTTTTATACATGAACGGTTTCAAGCAAAAATAAACCTTATACCATATCACAAGAGCACGTGACTTCGTAGGTCTATTCGGCCATATGATAGTAATAAGACGACAGTTCAACCATTTTAAGCAAAATTAAACAATAAGACAAACGCATTCTTTTTTTTAACAGGAGACTTGTTTTACAGAAATTTATTTACAACTTGAGTTTTTGAGCAATCGCAATGAGTGCTATTATTTGTTACTTATTAGACTATTTTTCCACAACATGATTGAAAACCCACAAAGTAAAAAGTACCATGTACAAGTTAAAAAAGGTTGTCAACCACTAAAAATTTCAAATTTTTGAAATATCCAGAAACGAAGCTGTACGCATAAACTACTTGCAAAATAATGAATATTTTGTTCTGGATAAATTTTCCAAAAACGCAATTTGAGCGAGTTATAACGATTTTAAAAGACACGACTCGCGTGTCATACGCCACACACAAAAGTAATCGATGGCACGCCTGGCGTGTCATCCGCACTGAACCGGTTAAAGGTACACTGAACCTAACGTTAAGTTGGAGAGTTCTCGTCTAATGAAGTCTACGCTCCGTCCCACTCGTGCTTTAAGCCAAAGTCCCGAACCTTTCAGCTCGAGTTACAATACCGTTTTCAGTGCCTAAGACTGCAATGAAGTGAACGTAAGCTCGTGGAAACTGTCCACGCGGTCGGAACTCCGTTCTGCAAGACCCGCTGCAGAAGAACACACAAAACTCTCCGATCACACTCTTAATCTCTTGGCTGTTAGACGGAAAATGAAGCTGCAGTCAGTTGCCTGTATGCTGTCAAATCTGTTGAAGAATTAACAGCATATAGGTAACTAAACAGACAAATCTCCAAATTAATGTATGCGGCGGGACTTACGCAAATTCCAAGGCTCCAGTCTTTGCCAGAGATCTATGTGCCAGAAAGAGTCAACTGTCAAAGCTAAAGACCGAGTGTGGCAATTTAATTTTTAAATACAAAACTTCAAGTAACTACTGTACTCTCGTCCCAACTCTTATAATGAAAATTCATCCTCATGGTAGATATGAGATTAAAAGCATCAAGGGTATGAGGGGTTATAAAAAATTCACTGGTGTAGTTGCTGCAGATGTTCTACATATATATCACAGTGTCGCTGATTGTAGTGAAACAAGCAGTAAGGAGGACATTGTAACTAGAGATGATTTGATTGACCTTTCAAAAACAAAAAACATGTAGCTAGACAGTTTAGATTATATGAAAAAAAAAGAGAAAAGGAAACGTTTTTTGTTTTCGAAATTCTCTTGCTCTTTTATCAAAAAGAAATGGCGAAATTGTTATCATTGAGTTATTGCCTACATTATTAGCTATCAAACAAGTACTCTTTCATCTTCGTAGGACGTCTACATGGGTAGCTATGGCTTATTCAGTACAAGCACCCGTGCCTTGAGGAAAAAAAAACCAAAATAGCTGCCATTTCATCACATAGAGAAAAACAATTTATCATATTTCACCTCCCCAAAAACATTATATATAGTGATAGAAATTTTGTAAAAAAGTTCTTTGACATAAATATTTAATTAAAAACAGTAAAATATTAAACAATTCTTTGCATTTTCATTAATAAAGAATATTAGTAAAATTTTTCCCCATTTCTTTTTGCTGAGATTAGAATTGACAGTATTACAAGCAATTTATATAGGCATATTTGTACATATTTTAAATGCAAATAAAATGGCATAATAATTACAGCAGTATATTTTATACATCCAGTTCAAGTGTGCTATTATCAAGAATATGCTCTGTTATTTTCTTCACTTTATCCTCACTGTTACTCAGAATAACATCATCAAGTTCTGTTGCTCTTTTAAATAGTGCATGTGCCTCTTTAACTGACTTGTGTAATTTCAATTGGCTATCCACAAGTTTTGATATACTAACTTTTCCTTTTAAAAATTCTATGTCATCATCCGATAATGTTGAGTAGGACAGCCTAGATGTGCTAGGTGCTTTTGCAGCTATTTGATACTGTCTGAAAAACAAATTACATCATATAGTATGAACTAGACATGGAACGAGTAGTGATTCGCCGAGTACTCGGCCACCGGGTACTCAACCTAGATTGGGCCGAGTACTCGGCTTTAAAAAAATGTGGTAGCGGGCGGCATGCGGTTATTTCCCTTACAAACTAGACCCAAATTGGGCCGAAAAACTAGTGTTTTTGCATCACAATCGTCCTCTCTTAAATTTTAAATATTAATAATAATAATTTCTATTATAGATTCTTATGTACGTTCTAAATATTTCTGCTGCTTCTCATGTTCCTGATGTTTTAATGTGTCTAATGTAATAATAATGATAAAAACTGGCTTTTTGTCTTTATTTTTCTCTGGAATATAATTAAGGCTGAGTACTCTGTACTCGGCCATTAATACTCGGTGCTTCAGCCTTGGTTTGGTAGCTCCTCTAAGACTGCATTAAACAGTAAGCATGTGTTATTAGGCCTGGGCTGAGACTTCGGCGGCTCAGGATGTGTAAGTGCAACTAAAGAAATTAGCTACAATATTAGTAAATTATTTTCACTTACTCTCTTATGTCATGATATTTGTTTCTCCTATTATTAACTTCTTTCTTCCACTGTTCTTTCTCAGCTACAAGCACATTATAATATCTGGAATTGAACAAAAACAATCTTAACTGGAAGTTATTGATCAAATGTATATATTAATAATTTAAAAATTTGTACAGCCGATTTCAATATAAATGATTAAGGATGACTCAAAAACAATTACCTAATCAAGCCTTGATCCAATTTATATAGGACAACTTGAGAAGCATCAGCTTTCATATACATAACAGAAGAATCATCAATATTGGTTCACCTAGAAAAAAGTTATGAGGTAACACACAAAGAAAAGAACATACCTACCTAAGAAGGTCTTGATTATGTTTTTCTTTGTCATCTGTAGCCTTTTTGGACAAATTAAGATTTATATTTTCTGATAATGGTTGCGGTACTGTAAGAATTACGAATCTTTTGTAATTATGTTTTAGAATGGATCATTATAGAAATACCAATATCAACAAAGGCTGAATTAATACCGAATAAGAAGAACAATAAATAAAGCATTGTTTATGTTACCCACCCAAAGAATCTCGCCTCTCAAAGAAAGTTGATCTTCTTCGCTGGGGTGGCGATCGAAAAGATTGTTGTAAATCATGTTCAGTGGAAGAACTTTCCATTTCAGCAATATATTTCAAAATTATTATTTTTCTTGACCACGATAAATAAAATTGACATAATATTCAAATTCAAAATTCTGAAATTTGAAATCCAACTGATGTTGTTGTTGTTTTTATTATTTGCTCCAGAGAGCAGGCAAAGGAGCTAAGCCATACAGCCTTGTCTTTTTTATTTTGAATATATAGGATTTTAAAGTGTAAAGGCCGGAACCAGGTCTTATTTTTCTTCTTTCCATCTCTTCAAAATCCATAAAGGCCGAAGTCAAGTCATATTTTCAAAAACCCGTCAAAGCTAAAGCCAAGTCTTCTTTATATTATATTCTTTGTAAGTTTCAATCCGTGTAGATTTGTCAATCCAATATTTTCAAAAACAGGGATACCATATTTCATATTTCTTTTACAATATTATGAATAAAATAGCAAAGTGCTAAATATGTCTTAGTATTCCTAAGAACATCTTGCAGGGCACGCGGGACGCTTTCTGAGTTCTCATAAACTTGTATAAGTTTTTCAATGAGTAGTAATCTTTCAATGGCGTACGTTGGGCAATTAAATATTATATGTTCTGCAGTCTGATCTGCTTCTGTATCGCATATGTGTTGTAGATGCTACTATTCTCATCCTGGAAAAATAAGCGTTCAGTCGATAGTGGCCAAATCTAAGTCTGCACATTACTGTATAAAATTTTCTGCTATATCTCTCGTTGCGAGAAAACCAAGGAATACTTAATTCTGAATTAATTGACGCATACCAACGACCTTTTCCTGCCTCTAAAACAGCATTTCATTGCATTTTCCATTCTTCTTTTAACTGTTTTTTTAAAATTGAATATAAATCTGTATGTGGTATTGCAACATCGGTTATCCTTTCTGTTCGCGCCAAGCGCTAATTTCAAGAATTAACGCGAGAGGGCGCTCGGCGCGGTGCATTCATGAAAGTCAAACCGGTACGGTTTGACTTTCGGTCGTGCGTAGAACGTGCAAGCGCACCAGTCGTCTGTCAGCTGTGCTTGGGACAGCACGCTGTCATTTTTGTCGGGAACTCGGAATAATTAGGCGCGGCCAGTAAATATACGGTCTAGGATTTGTGACGCACATTCCTGCTGGAGAGCTTCCCAGGGACTCATTGTGTCTGACTCAGAATCTGCATAAGTGCTTTCGGCAATATTTTAATATAAATAATAATAGGTTTAATTTTTTGTGTCTACAATCACGCCCGTCCGTAATACGTAACAATATTTTTTTTGTACGTAATAATAAAATTATTTTCCTTTGTTGCTTGCTTATTTGGTTAGTGGGTAGATTGAAAAGCCGCGCCCTAGGATGCGAAAGCGGGAGTTTTTCTAGAGATATACGTCATGTAGGTAGATGGTTATTTTTACGTAATCGGTTAATTATCGTTGTCGGATAGTTGTAGTGGATTACTTATCGAAGGGTCGATTTCCTAGCTAGGCATTTTTTATTGATCGACCGTGATGTGTATCTTATTTGTATTGTAATTTGTATTTGAACTAAAGAGTAGTAATTGTATTTGGTTGATACGTAGTAATTCGTATTTGTGTAATTTCTATTCAACGCGATTTGATAGGAACTGCATTTATTAACTGTTAATTTTTTGTTGTATTTTTTATTTGTTATCTTTGTAATTTGTGCTCGAGCCGCGTCGTAATTTCTATTTAGTAGTGATGTCATCGCCCAAGCTACTAATCCGTTGCCTGCGGCCTGAGTTACGCTGGGCCACAAGCGCCCATGCTTTGATAGGTCGACCGGATACCATAACTTGATGAAGCGGTTCGAGCAGGTGGATGCTCGAAGGGCCGCAGTGGAGGAGGCTTACGCTGAGCTCGAGGATTCGGATGTGGAGAAGGGAGTCCTGGACTCCTGCTTCGCGGACTATGAGCAGTTCTTTTCGCTCACGGACGAGTTGATCGAGGCTGAAGGCAGGTATGCCGAGGAGGCGCGTGAAGCTTGGATGAGTGACCTGCCCGAGTTCTCTCGGAAGCAGCTTCAGCCGGAGCTGTTGGGACGACTCCCAACTCTGGACCTGCCAAAGTTCTCCGGGGTCCTTTCCGAATGGCTGACCTTCGTTGGTCTTTTCGACAGCCTAGTGGACACCCGGAGTGACTTGACCCCGAGCCAAAAGATGGCGTATCTCCTGGCCTCACTGGAGGGGGAGGTCCTGGGCGTCGTCGGCCACTTGAGATTGTCGGACGACGCCTACCAGACTGCTCGGGACCTCCTAGCCAGAAGATACGGCAACGTCCTGCGAATTGCGGACGAACATGTTAAGCAGCTTCTAAGCCTCCCACTGCTTAGTGACCGGGCCAGACTACGTCCGGACCTGTTGGACCCAGTCTTGGTGGCCTGTAATACGTTGAGACGGCTGGATTTACCAGTGGGCGAATGGGCTTTTTTGTTGCTCCGCATCGTGCTATCCCGTCTACCTCTCGACCTTCGAATCCATTTTGAGGTACGGCAGGGACGAGGCCTCCTATATTCCGCCCTTCTATGACCTGCTGCAGTTTTTGGAGGAGCAGTGCCGGCAGATCGAGAACGCGACGGGCGCCGTTGACGACTTACGAGCCGTGCCCAGTGAGAGGCTGAATCCGCCAGGCAAGTCGTCGTCAACCCCCCCCCCCCTGATCCTATTGTCATCTGATCACCGGGTAACGTCGTGCCCGAAATTATTAGGTAAGCCGGTTCCGGCGAGGCGAACTATTGCCAAGGAGCGCCGCTGGTGCTGCTCATGTTTGAAAGGGCACCTGAGACGGGAACTGAGACGTGGTCCTTCACTGCTGGCCGTATGAGGAAGCTCAAGGTCGCTCAGCGAGCTATGGAGAGGGCTATGCTCGGAGTTTCTCTGCGTGATAAACTTAGGAATGAGGATATCCGCAGTAGAACTAGAGTAACCGACATACCCCAACGGATTAGTAAGCTGAAGTGGCAGTGGGCCGGCCATATAGCTCAAAGAACCGACTACCGATGGGGAAGAAAGATTCTCGAGTGGCAGCCTCGTACCGGTAGGCGAAGTGTAGGACGTCCCCCCACGAGATGGAGTGATGACCTGGTGTTTGTGTTGTGGGGGTGACCGGTGGAAGTGAGTAAGGGAAGATGGGTTGTGTTTTAGGTGTTTAAACAGCAAACACCGACGACTGAGGTGTAAGGCTAGGAAGTGCGGCGTCGACGGATGCAACGCCCCCCACCATGCCCTCCTTCACGCCCGCAAGTTCCGGACACCTGAAACATCGGTAAATCTTGACGAAACCGTGCTCGTCGTGTCGAACGTTAATAGAAGTGCGTCGGTATTATTGAAAGTGTGCCCCATTACCGTGCGCAGACCGCGTGGTAAGGAAGTAGATACGTACGCACTACTCGAAGAAAGCTCCACCATATCGTTGATCGACGACGACTTAGCTAGCGAGTTAGGAACGAAAGGATCGACAAAGCCGCTCAGTATTAGAGGCGTAAATAATAGTCAACGCGAGGCCAAGTAGGTTAGTTAACATAGGAATACGTGGCAAGACGCGCAGTGAAATTTACAGCGAGACTGTCCGCATCGGCGGCCCTGTCTGCATTGCCAGGGCAATCACCATGCAGTTTTGTGCCTGGGTGCGAACGGCGTTACCTCTCGGGGCTCTGCCAGGCCCTCGACCCCCACGGGCGGGGGCGCTCAGCCACGCCCTCTGCCGGGCGACTCTCGGTGCCCGCCGGCCACCCACCGGGCCCCTAGGTTTGGAAGGGGTCCCTCCCACGACCAGTCTGGGGGTAATTCCCCCAGGGGCGGAGGTGTCATCACCCCCCCTCAGCGTGTGGAGAGGAACTTCACGGCCACTCATCGGTGCGCTGGACCCTTCTCACTCCCGTTAGCTGAGTGGCCGCGACTGGTGTACCACTGTTCCCCATTTGATGGAGGCGGCCCTGGCTAGCTGCCGCCTTAGCTCCCACCACGGCCGCCTCCACTGAGCCTTAAGCCGTCAACAGTTCACTTGTCAAAATGTTCTGTTGCCGACGGCCTCAGTGAAGGCGTACAATCCGAGTGGCGACTGTTAGCGGTTCGCGCTCTATTGGTCTCGGGTTCACGCCGTGTGGCCTCCCCTTGGTGGTGGGAAGATTAGGGCCCCCCGGGAGCGTTGAATCACGCTGTCAAGGGGTATTATTAGATTTGGTTTGGTCGAGCACTTAGTTAAAAATTCTTTGAATTAAAATTAAAAAATGCTTTATTGAAATTAGATAACCCTATTTGTGCCGAAGTAAATAAAAGTCATTTCTCCTTTGGTTTACATTTTGTTGGCACTGTCTAAGTTATTTAAATGAGAAATAGGGCTGCCTCTTGCGTTTATTGTTTTGTTTAATTTGTCAAGTTGACCTATGTGCATCGGTGATTAATTTGGTTTAATTGATTCTGTAGTTGAACATTGATGCTTTGAAAAATTAGTTGAAATATGAGCATAGGACTACTTGCCTAACAGGCTGGCTAGTTGTAGATTATCAGATGGAAATCAGCTGTCGCACCATTTGGTAAATAGTTGTATAGTAGATGGCTTGATTATGCCTACTGTTTGAAAATCTATACTAAGGACTATCTGTGCGTTTCGTTTGGCTCTCCACAGACGACGTTCATGGGGAATTTGTGGGTGCTCTCTGCACTGAAGCTTAAGAGGCCACGCTGGGCCGCTTCGTGTCGTGTCGCTGTTTGCAGACCTGATACGGTCGGATTGCGGAACGAATCACGGCACAGATAGGTGTTGAAAGAGGTCGTCGGACTTCGGTCCAGTACAGGACTTATTAAGGTGCTGCGATGCTCACCAGGGGCATCCAGCAGAGATTGACCCTCCGGCTTGCCCCATTGGGGCTATCTTTTGAGGCGGTGGCTAGGGTTGCAAGATCTGATGGGGTGCCTAAGGTGGCCTAGTTTTGGTGTAGATTCGGTCTTGAAACGTGCCGTCGCGACCCTGTCCCAGTTGCCGGTTTGCTCGCGGACATAAGTCCTTATGTCCGGGA